TTTGCAAACCCAGATGCGGTTCATGCTCCTCTTCAGCCGGCAGGGGAAGCTGCGCCTCCAGAAATGGTATCTGGCCACCTCGGACAAGGACAAGAAGAAGATGGTCCGGGAGCTCATGCAGGTGGTCCTGGCCCGTAAGCCCAAGATGTGCAGCTTCCTCGAGTGGCGAGACCTCAAGGTGGTCTACAAAAGGTAAACAGCTAACCCCCCCCCTTCCTACTGTGCCTTGCATGCATTGAGAGGGTGGCCCGGCAGCCTTGGGAGGACACAAGCAGGATGCTGCAGGCGGTGCTTGCTTTGTATATTTGAAAAGAGTTGTACTCCTCTTTTCCCCTTAAAAAGGACCCAAGGTGGCTTACATCATCATCACAAGACAGTATTTAAAGCTGAAAACAATAAGGGCACAAACATTACAAAGGAACAAACTTTGCACACCACTTCAGCCTGCTGGCAGAAGTCTCCTGGGCAGGCAGGCGGGCGGGCAGGGAGGCCTTTCCTCAGAGCCCCCACAGGAAGGCCTCTCCTGGGGGCACCGTCTGCTCAGGGTCCTTCCCCCACTTGACCTGCTCTTCTCGGGGCCTTCCAGGTGCCCAGTGGAAGAGAGGGGGCCATATTGGGCTGAGGGGCCTCTGGGTCAAGCTGGACTTAATGGGGAGGGCTGAGATCCTTGGACAATGGCCCACCTTGCTCTTGCCGGATGGGGAGGGTGGGGAGGAAACCTCCAGCATCAGATGTTTGTGATTCTTCCTCTGTGATGGTGGAGGATTGGTGCCGTCTGCTTGCAGCTTTCTGCCCCTTCTCCCTGGCCACCCCAACTCCACCCAGCTCAGAAGCAGGCCTCTTGTTTTGGAGGAAACAAGACATCTATTTCTGTCCTATCGGCACCAGCTCTTCAAGGATGGAGGTGCTGACCGTGTTCGCAAACTGTTCAACGCCCTTCCCTCCCTCCCTCCCTCAGCTGGATAGTAGGGGCAGAGGTGCTGAGCTCTGCCCTAGGAAGCCTCCAGACCAAAGGCTCCCTTCTGTTGCCAGTTTCGGTCATGGATCCTGCGCAGACAAGACATCTATTTCTGTCCTATCGGCACCAGCTCTTCAAGGATGGAGGTGCTGACCGTGTTCGCAAACTGTTCAACGCCCTTCCCTCCCTCCCTCCCTCAGCTGGATAGTAGGGGCAGAGGTGCTGAGCTCTGCCCTAGGAAGCCTCCAGACCAAAGGCTCCCTTCTGTTGCCAGTTTCGGTCATGGATCCTGCGCAGAGCAGGGGGGGGGTGAGGGGAAGCCTGGCCTTTGGGACGGACTGAAAGGGTCGTGGTCAGGCATTCCCTGCCACCATGGCAGCGGCGGCGGCTTCCTCCTCCTACCCTCCTGTGCAGAGGCAGAGACGAACTGTTGGGGGAAGGCCTTGAGTTTGGCTGCCCTTCTCTGCAAAGGACCGGCTCGCTTTGGAGTGTCGTTTGCGGTGGTCGTGCCTCCTTCCAGCGTGGGGGTGGAGATGGTTCCCAGGATGTCCCGATGTTCTCTAGGCGAAGGGGTAGTTCAAGGAAGGAACCCAGGCCTCGCCATCCCCACGGGCCCACTTGGAACTGCGGAAGGCCATCGGAGCTTCCTGGCCGTGGGCTGCTGTATCCCTGCCCAGTAGAGGGAGGGAAGGGGGCTACCAGCTAACTGGTGGGAGGGGAGGCCATGTGACTGCAACCCCTTCGTTTCTTTCTCCCACCAGGTATGCCAGCCTCTACTTCTGCTGTGCCATCGAAGGCCAGGACAATGAACTCATCACCCTGGAGCTGATTCACCGATACGTGGAGCTGCTGGACAAGTACTTTGGCAGTGTAAGTACCAAAGTGGGGTTGGGTGGAGCGGGGGTTGGGGGGGAGAGTCTGCTGCTTTGGCCCATCTCCCTCTTCCCCAGTCTCTCAGAGGCCTGTGTGGGTCCCCCTGGGTCCAAGTCTCCGCAGTTCCTTTCCTGGGGACCAAGGAGTTCCCACCGTCCTGCACCCCCCTCCCCCCCCCGCGGCTGTCAAGGGCTGGGGTTCAAGTAGACTCTATCTCAGGCATTGCCAATGGCCCCAGCGTCTGCCAGCCGGAAGCTGCTGGGTTTTGACTTCCTGCAAAGACTGCCTTCCTTGGCAGGGCTGAGCATCTGGACCTTCTCCCATTGAGCTGAGCAATTGCCCAGTGCTGGGGGTGGGGAGTGGCAGGAGGAGGAAGTGGCAGTTATGCCTAATGCTCATCCCTCTTGCATTAAGTCTGACTCCTTAATCCCTTCTGCCTGGCCTTTTTTTGGCCCCTCATTGGAGTTGCCGCCTGTTTCCCTCTCCTAAGCTGGCTCTTGGCAGACATAGAGAGAGAGAGAGAGAGAGAGAGAGAGAGAGAGAGAGAGAGAGAGAGAGAGACACACACACACACACACACACACACACACACACACACACACACAGAGGCCCGAAATCCAGGTCTTATCCCTGCCTATCACCGTTAATGAAATCCAGCTAAGTGTGGCTGCTAATTGGCCTTAACGAGGTCTTGGCAGCCAGCCCTGGTAATGCCTGCTAATGCCGGGGAGCGGTGTGCTTCTCTTCTCCTTCCGTGCATCTACGTCATGCTTGGGGTCTTTTTGATCTTGGGGGGCAGCTTGGTTCCCATCCCTGTCACCAAGCGCTGTGTTCCCCCTCCCTTTCAGGTGTGTGAGCTGGACATAATCTTCAACTTTGAGAAGGCGTATTTCATTCTGGACGAATTCCTGATGGGGGGCGAAGTGCAAGACACCTCCAAGAAGAGTGTCCTGAAGGCCATCGAGCAGGCAGACCTCTTGCAGGAGGTAGAGGTGGGGCCCTGCATGGGGGCTCTGCATGCCCAAGGGGAAGGGGCCTCAGGGCGCAGGGGGCCTGTCCCCTTCCCGTAGGCACAGGAGAGGGGCGTGGTGGACCCTGCTGTGCTGCACTAGCGTCGGGGCTGGGAGGGACGGAAGGAGCGGGGAGGCAGTTGGAGGAGCTCCCATCCAGCGCACGCAACGTCCACCTGGCTGTGGTGCATCCAGTGAGTCACCCAGGGAGAGCCTGGCTCTGTTCAGTCTCTCTCTCTCTCTCTCTCTGCGGTGCGCGTGGGCGACTCTGCCTCCTTTCTGCTGCCAGCCAGCCAGCCAGCACTCCTGTGACTATGTGGGCTGGGGGGGGGCAGGAAAGGAGGGAGATGCAGCAATGGCATCTTTATATTTCTCCCCCTTTGCCTTTCCCCCAGTTAGCTCTGGGGAGGTGAGGGTTAGCTGGCAAAATGCAGGCGGGAGTCCCAGCCGGAGGGGTGGGGATGACAGCCCTTCCTGCTGCTGTTAGGGGCCAAGGGCAGTGAGGCTTGAGGGGAACTCTGAGCATACACAGAGTGCTTATCCCCTCACCGCTTCCTCTCTGGTACTAAGGCTTTTGTCTCCAGAGTGACTTCTGTTGCCATGAACCCCTTCATGTCCCCAGGGTGAGCCTCAGTTTGCCCTGGGGAGTGTGTGTGTGTGTGTGTGTGTGTCATTGCCCTCCTGATTTGGCTCCTTCCCCTTCCTTCTCTCCCTGTTGCAGGAGGACGAGTCTCCCCGAAGTGTCCTAGAGGAGATGGGGCTGGCATAGCTGGTCACCACCGAGGGATCCAGGCTGTTGCTGCTCCTCACTGCCACAATGCGCCCCTCCCACAGCTGCCCCATGGCATGAGAGGCAAGGGGTTGCCGCAGCCTGGGGCAGCCCACAAGGCCTTTGGAAGGCTCCGTTTCGTGGTGGGCTGAAGGAACCCACAAGCTGTACTTGTAAATACCGGGTTCCCTAGTTCTTTGGAGAGGGGTGGCCTTTCATGCCTTCCCCCTGTGCTCGGGAAGGCATTTGCTGGGCTGGGGCTTTAACTCTTTGCCACTTTCCCCTCTGTTCGTCATGCGGCCCCCGCTTCCCACTGATCTGTTCACACCAGCAACGCGGCTCTTCCTCCTGCCCCCCCCAAACCTGTGACTCACCCAGTGCAGCACTTGACTGATCGCGGGTGGCAGTGACGGTGCGACACTTTCCCGCTCACCCACCTCTTTCTGACTGTGGCTGGTGCTGGGGGGCAGTGGGAAAGGTCCTCCCCGTCACCAGCTGGACAGCAGCTTCCCCTTGTCTGCGTGATGCCCTCCAGAGGGGGAGCCGGGCGGTGGGCGGTATTTCTAGCCCTCCCTCTCCTCTTTTGTCAGGCATGCTCTCTCCAGTCCAAGAGGATTGGACATGTCTTCCCTGGATTTTTTGGAATAAAGCGTGTGTGGGAGCTCCTGGGAGAAGTGTGGTTCTTGAACCCATGTGCAGGCATTTGTGTTGCTTCACTAGTCCACCTCTGGGATCCCTGGCAAAACACGGGAGTGTGGCCGACAGCCCCTGAACCCTCAACATGCACAAGATGGGGAGGCCTGGTTCCCAGCGCCCCAGGATCTGACCAGAGGACGGAGGTGTGTGTGTATGTTTGGAGGAGTGTCCTGGTGTTTCCCTCCTGCCTGTGGAGGGAGACTGGGGCCGTGAGGGGTGGGCAGGCTGCTCTGCCAGTCAGCTGGGCCCTCCAAGAATGGAAGAGGAGTTGGCCTGCATCTCCTTGCCCCCTATGGGTGAATGGTGGGGCAGTGCTCCTCCCCCACTCCTGCAGCCTGGAATCCACCGTAGCCCTTTACTCCTCTTAGGAAAGAATGTGGGTTTTGACTGGAAGGAGAGTGGGGGCCTCTTCTCAACTCTCCACGGCTGGGCCCTCTTTTCCTCACATCCTTCAAAGTGTGGATGAAGATTTCTAAATGCATCTGCTTTCTTTTCCTCCACCTCAAAGGTGTGAGACCTGGAGAACCACTGCCCAGCAGTGGCCAAACTGGTGTCTTCTTTTCATGCGTACTTTTTCTGGTTTTCTTCAAGAATCCTGGGAATTGCTATCCAGAAAACCAAATCAGCACATCTGTAGGTTCCCCCCCCCCAAGAAGAACGTTGAGGGTCCTTGCTTGTATCCTCATCTTCCCCAATCTTTATGCTGTTGAGTAGTGGGAAGAGGTCACAGCTGAGAAGTATCAAGGCTGAGACTCACGAAGCCCCAGGGTATCCGCCTGTCTCTCTCTTTCACTGTCCCCCACCCTCTCATGGGGTGTGTGCTGGTGATGAAATCTAGAGATCTATGGATGTGCACATGGGTTTTGCTGTTTATGGAATTCTTGGACAGCTCTGGGAGTTGACATTCAAAGACACAAAACTTTGAACAGCAAAGAGCCCCCACCTCCCCCCCCCCGGTACCAGTGACCGAGTGGGAAAGGGGCCTTGTTCCTGAGGTAGGTGGCTGAAGAAACTCAGCTTAGTGGGTGATGGTGTGCCAGGTCAAAGAAGGCAAGCAGGGGCATGCATGAGAGGTATGTGCAGTTGCTCTTGGTGTACCCAATCCCAAGGCTGGAGTGGGTGGTACTTTTATTGCACTGACATTCTTACCTGCAAGCCAGCTTTGAGGCCTGTAGGGGTCCTCTTCAGGCTGGGCACCACAGGGCTTCAGGCAGTACAGGGGGAAAAGTTTCCAGTGATCATGGGCAGAATTGCATGCCAGGCTCCTTTGTTAAATAGGCTTCAAAATGGGGACAGCAGACTTGGGCCGGAGGCTGTGGGGAACCTGGCACAACTGTCCACTTGATGTGGGATGGGTAGCAAACACTTCACCGTTCAGCCTTCTCTGCCCAGGCTGTCTGGTTCCCAGACCTTTTAGGACTTGGGTTGTGCTCCTCTAGAGATGTTTCACCTTGAAGGGAGCCCTCTTAAACTGGTGCCCCAAGCTGGAGAAAATCCTGTGCCTCCACCCCAGCAACACCATTTGGCCGTGTCCTGTCAAGCAGCTGGAAACCCACCCGACAGTAGGATTCTAGCCCATATTTTACTAGCTTGGCCATGAAAATTACCATGAAGGACTTAGTCGAGATGCGTCCTGCCCATAGCATTCCCCTAATCTAGTCTTGCTCATTTACAGGTTGCAAAACTGCAAGAATACATTTGCGTGTAAACATGAATTGACAGTGTGGCGTGGATAGTGCATTGGACTGGAACTTAGGAGGGCTGGTTTATAATCACTCCTTTAGCCCAGGAAACTTGTTGGGGTGGGGGATGGGGGGCACTGCTAAAACCACTCCTTAATACCTACATACCTTGAAAATCCTACAGGGGTTGTCATCAGTCAGATGCGAGTGGTACTTAACACATACAAGCATGAACAGACACTGTTCTATCAAAAAAAATTAAACCCCTGGCCTCTTCCACTTTTCTGTGGTTGTTGTGGAACCTGCATAGAACATGAGAGGTGGGGGCTCAAAGGAAGAGCAGGTCGAGTTAAGCTAGAATTTCCCCGCAAGAGAGGGAGGCGGCTGCCAGTTTCGATGGCCTTCAGACAGGGACTAGACCTATCCTTAGAAATGAGGTAGCCAGTATTGAAGAATTGCTACCATCCCGCATGCAAGCCAATACTAGAGAGAAAAATAACATCGTTTCGTTTAGTTGTGTCCGACTCTTCGTGACCCCATGGACCAGAGCACGCCAGGCCCTCCTATCCTCCACTGCCTCCCGGAGCTGCGCCAAACCCATGCCGGTTGCCTCGCAGACACTGTCCAGCCATCTCATCCTCGGTCGTCCCCTTCTCCTCTTGCCATCGCACTTTCCTAATGCATCTGTCAAGATTTGTCATCGCTTTCCTCCCAAGAAGCAAGCGTCTTTTAATTTCGTGGCTGCTGTCTCCATCTGCAGTGATCATGGAGCCCAGGAAGAGAAAATCTGACACTGCCTCCATGTCTTCCCCTTCTATTTCCCAGGAGGGGATGGGACCAGTGGCCATGATCTTAGTTTTTTTTTATGTCGAGTTTCAGGCCGTTTTTTGCACTCTCCTCTTTCACCCGCATTACAATTCCTCCTCACTTTCTGCTATCAGAGTGGTATCATCTGCATATCAGAGGTTGTTGATATTTCTTCCGGCAAGGAACATAAAATCTGTCACTACCTCCATAGCTTCCCCTTCTATTTCCCAGGAGGCGATGGGACCAGTGGCCATTATCTTAGGTTTTTGATGTTGAGCTTCAGATAATTTTTGACGCTCTCCTCTTTCACCCTCATTAAGAGGTTCTTTTATTCCTCCTCACTTTCTGCCATCAGAGTGGTATCATCTGCATATCTGAGGTGGTTGATATTTCTTCTGGCAATCTTAATTCCGGTTTGGGTTTCATTCAGTCCTGCTTTTCGCATGATGTATTCTGCATATAAGTTAAATAAACAGGGGGACAATATAAAGCCTTGTTATACTCTCTACCATGGAACTGTCTCAACTATGTTGACTAAGAAAAAGCTGTGGGGGAGAGGGTTCTTTACCTTTTCCTTTTGCTTCTTCCCATCTACACACAGCCCCTTCTACTAGCCTCTGTTGCCTTGTGAAAGCAATGAGTAAAAGATATACAGTATTATTTTAACCTTGAATTGGTTTGGTTTTAATCAGGCAGTGTCTGACTTATTATCTTGCTGGGTGATGCAAGGGAGACTTGCTTTGAATTCTCGCCCTGATTCCTGCCCTTCCATTGTGCAACTAAAGAGGGATTACAGATAGAGACCTCCTGCTACAGATCCCACAGGTTAGGGGCTCAGAACAAACAAAAACAAACAAAAGGCTATAAAGGGAAAAGCTTAAGGGAGTAAGTGCTTTGTGTTTTTTCTTTCTTTTTTGAGCTTTTGTTGATTCTAAGTGTTATGTTGCTTCTCTTCCCCCCCCCCCAAAAAAAACACACATATTTGGCTGAAGAAATAGAAATGGTTTGGAGGCAATTCTGAGCATGAATCAGAGGGAAGAGTTTTGTGGCAAATTGCCAGAAGAGACCTCAGTAAACTTTGAGCAGTGGAAAGGAAGACTAATACAATGATCTGATTATCTTGAGAGTTTATAAGTGTTTTGAGGAGGAGAGACCCACAGGTGGAGAACTCTTCAGAAAGTGGGAAGACAATGATACAATTTCAAAATCAATTATCATAATCTCACAAACAAGCAGCTAATATACATTGCGGGCTGCAATACAGCAGAGGAAATGACTGGGCATGTAGAAGAATCCTTTCTAGCAAGTTGCAAGGGATAACCTTTGTCGGAGAATGAACTTGGATTGGCTTCAGTGAGAATGGAGACTGTAGAAAACCTAAATCTGAATTAGTGGCTAGTTTTGGCAATTCGGATCTCACTGGCCTTGTGCCGAATGATCGGCAGAGAAAAGGATTTCTCTTAGCATCACTAGGATCATGCTTTGATGCTTTTTCATCTGTTATAAATGCTCAGAGGCTAATTTGTCAGGAATCTCTGAGAGCCTTGAGAGATGAATGTCAAGGCCAGAAAGGATAAACTCCCAAAGGCAAATCGATCCAGTTTCCTCACTCATGGGAAGGGGAATAGGAAGGCCACACACAGAGACACACACACAAATGAATTTAAGTTTAAGAAAAAGGCATTAATGACTTATGAAGTTACACAAAATTCTCAGAAGTCAGTTTACTAGATTTTTTTACTCTGGATGTTGTGCCCATTCATCACACCAGGCAGATTTCCTACAAACCTTGGATGCACACATGTCTGGAAATACTAGAATACCTGGTGGGAGCTATATGCAAAAGGAAAGGAAAGGAACTGGAGTTTGCAGTGTAAACTGTCAGATGAAATCTGGGCCACTTAATCTGCCATTACTGGCAGGCAACAGATATATTCCGATATTTGTGGATGATTTCTCAAGGTATTGTGTCACCTATCGTCTGAAGGAGAAAGGTGAGGCATAGTTCATGATCAAGAAATATGTGGCTGTAGTGAGTTTGAGGGGAGGGTAAGGCACTCCCATCCAACAATGGGGTGTGTGTATGAATCCCTCGCACACAAAACACAAGCCTCTTTAAATGGAGAAGGCATTTTGCACAATATAATTATTTCCTAACCCCTGAACTAAATGGAGGACCTTAAAGAGAGCCAATATCTCTTCTAGAAATGACTAAATGAATGCTTGCAGATGTAGAATTGACCAACAAATATTGGGTTATGCAATCATGACTGCCATGTGTCTCCAGAATAGATCACCCACCAGGGCCACCCAAAGAACATCATTTGAACTCTCACACAACAGAGTGCCAAATGTAAAACACAGTAGAGTTTTTGGAGAGTATCTCATATGTCTATGTGCCAAAGGAGAAAGATCACAAACTCGACTCTAGAACGGAACAGACAACTTTAAGTGGCTATGCTCCTGGTACCAAAGGCTATAGAGTCAAAAGTTTAAAGGAAGTGAAATCAGCATAAGAGATGTGTTTCACTTTGATGAACAAAAGAAGGCTGGAAAAAGAGGGATGGTGTTAGATTACTCTAATGAGCAAGTTCACTGCAGTCAGCCTCTCCTAGGCACAATACTGTCGGTGTCTTTGCAAACTAAGCAAAAGAGAGATCAAGAGTAAGATGACATACAAGGTGAGAGCCGTTTCTCCAGGACAAGGGGGCACAGATGGAGATGTGGGTCTGTGGAACTGGAAGAAGCACTTATGCCACAAAATGCTTCAGAGCCAGCCATCAGGCACAACTCAAGAGAGGTGCACATCAAGCACCTAGACTTCAAGGCTGCATTTGGACAGGGATAAATTGCAGAGGGGCTGAACACGAAACAACCACCTGGTTTCTGTCAACCAGAAACACCGTGATTATGTCTGCAAATTAAAGAAAGAAAGACCTGTATGAGTGAAACAAAGGAGCCTGGAATGAGAAATTGAAAATGCTACTTCTACAAGGCTTCTAAGAAGGTGATGCAGATCAGTCCTTGCAAGAAACAGAAATGATCATTCATCCTTTATTTTACCTTATAAGAACATAAGAAGAGCCCTCTGCTGGATCAGGCCAAGGGCCCATCTAGTCCAGCTCCCCGTACCCCACAGTGGCCCCACCAGATAGATGCCTCTGGGATCACAGAAAACAACTAGAGTCCTGTCCTCTGATACCCTTCCCCGACATCTGGCATTTGGAAGTCCCTTCCTTTTAAAAGCCTGGATATGACACATCCCCATCATGCCTTGTCACCTGCGATAGACTGTTCCTCCAGAAATCTGTTGATAATGTCATTATAGTCACACACAGAGAACAAGAATGCAAAGAGATAGTACTAAGACACAGCAAGGAAGTAGAGATAAAGGAATTGGGAGATGCAACGTACCATTTGGGCATTCAAACTGAGAAAGAGGTAGATGGCTCATATTTGTTGAACCAGAAGAGAATTGAACTCATAAACACACTAGGCCTTGGGGATACTCGCAGTGTTGCAACATCCATGCAAACAGATTTTCTGAAAGGCAGAGAAAAAAATGAAGCTCTACCAATCAATATCCATTACCTACCCACTACAGGGAAGCTTTTGTACATATATACAACACTAAAGGAAACTAAATTCAGAAGAAAGAGTAATACAGTATGGTTGTTGTAGGTTTTTCAGGCTGTTTGGCTGTGTTCTGAAGGTTTTGCTTCCTAACTTTTCACCAGTCTCTGTGGTCATGGGCATCTTCAGAGGACAGAACTCTCTCTGTGTTCTGGTGTAGTGTGTGGGATAGTTGATCATTTGTAGCTGTGGGATCAGCTTCTTGTCCTTTTCAGGAGATTGGGTGATAATGGTGATCAGGGTGGGTTTTTTGTGTTGTTGTTTTTTTAATGGGTGTATTGATGTGAAAAAGTGGGGCACATTGATTAGGAGAAGCAAGATGTATAGCCTAGGAAAGGAAGGGGTTTGCTAATTGGTCATATAGAGAGAGACTGGTGAAAAGTTAGGAAGAAAAACCTTCAGAACACAGCCAAACAGCCTGAAAAACTTACAACAACCATACTGTGTTACTCTTTCTTCTGAATTTAGATTCCTTTAGTGTTGTTATCAGGTTGAGTAAGGAGACCCATGCTCAGTAATGGTCTCCAGCATAGAACTTTCTTAACAGGGTGGGCTGATCGAAAAATCCATTTGTTTTCTTTTTGTTTCTTTTCTTTTCTTTCTTCTTCTTCTACTAACCTCTAATGCTTTGTGAAAGCACTGAGTAAAACATATGTTGTTATTTTTTACAGTACTTTACAGTGGTGTCTAAATGATTATCTTGCTGGTTAATGCAAAGAGGGGTTGCGGTTTGGGGAACTTGCTATGAATTCTAACCCTGATTACTGCCTTTCCATTGTGCAACTAAAGACGGATTTAAAACAGCCCTAGTGCTGCAAATCCCACAGCCGGGGACTATAAATGCTTCAGCGCCAACAGCAGGGTTTCCTTGCCTGCGAAGCCCAGTTCTTCTGTTCCTGGTGTGTCCTGGCTTCCAGCTTCCTGCCCGGGCGCACTGGGACCCGGCCAGGCAGGAAACATGTGGTGGTCCCTGGGTCGCTCATCCTCTCACTGCTCCCCTCTTCCATCAATCTCCAGCCGTTCCAAACGCGCCTTCCCGGCAGCTCCGGATCAGGAGCCGCTGGAAAAACCTCTCTCTCCGCAGCTCCCTTGGTAACTCGATGAGCGAAAGGGCGGGTTGTCTTGCGCGCACGGTCCCTGACAGAAGCCGGGAGAGATGCCTCGGGAGTGGTTCGCCCCAGCCATAGTGAGGGTCCGGTGGTGGCCCGCCAGCTCCCCTTTCCGTCAGCCCCACCGTCGGACTCCATCCTTCGCCCACCGATCCCACCCTGGTCCCATCTTCCGGCTGGGGTCCCGGGGCGGCCCTTCGTCTTCGGCTCTCCTTTCACCCCTACCAGACAGCCTTGAGATGGGCTCCGCCAAGGCCTCTCCGCTGGCGGCAGAACCCAGCTCCGACCGACTCCCGGCCGTCGCGCTCAGAGGAACCGGCGCGGTCTTCATGTGTCCTGGAAGGTGGCGCCCCGGTGTCGAGAGAATCGTCAAGCCTTCCCGAAGGGCTTCTCGATTCCCCAGCCATTGAGTTGACCCACTCGCCGCTCTGCACGTGGTCAGAGGCCCCCTTGTGAATGCGAGGATTCCTGGGCTCTCCTGAATAGATTGGCGCCTGGCGCTCTCAGGAGCCCCCCTGCCCCTACTGGCGCCCCCAAAACCAGGCTTCTGGATACATCTGCTGGGGTGAAGGCAAAACGTTCCCGATCTTGCATGGAGGGGCACTTTTAGCCTGTGCCCCCCATCTGTAAATAATGAGAGTTACTCGTAATAAAATAGTTGCTTTTATTTCTTAGCAAAACTAGTAATTCCACATGCTATTTACAACAGGCCAAACGTGTTTTATTTCAAGTACAACAAAATGGATCAGGACACGGGAGACAACTTTTTTCTTTTTTTTTCTTTTTCTCTTTTTTTTTTTTACAGGACTGGACATCACAAAGCGAAGAAACTCGCACACTCTAGGACTGATGTCAGTGAGAAAGTCTCTGAACACGTGCAAACTGCCACCTTTCCCCACACCTTCCTTCAGCCTCTGGTGAGGGACGTCCACCCCGTGGGCTCCTTCCCTGAAGTTTTGGGTGGTCATGAACCTAGACAGGTAGGTGTGAAAGGAGCAATCTCAAGCCCCCCCCACGCAACCCTTGGAGGGACACCTGTTTCTAGGGGTAGAAGGGTCCCCGAGTTCCCCGGACTTTGGAGCTGATCCATTGTCCACCTGAATGAGTGGGTGGGCAGAAAGGCTGTGAGGGACTGAATAAGGCTGGTCGTTATGAAATTCTCTCCCCCTCCCCTTCTCTATGTTTCCAGTGGGGAAACCAGCCGCCAAGGAGGTTTTGGTTTGGGTAGTTCTCCAAAGTGTGAACAGGAGAGGGGGGGGGTATTTTTTTCCCCCTGTTGGAAAGTGAGTCCTGATTTCTCTTGCCTGTGAAAGGCTGAGTGAGGCTTCAGGGTACAGCTGGTGAGAGGCAAGTGGTGGAGGGGGAAAGGGTTCTGAACGTGAGGAAGGCAGTTGTGCTGCTTCCCATCACCAGGGGCCTGGAGGGCAAAGCCAACAGGCCAGGGCATTTCTTACCTCTTAAAGGAGTAAGGAGTCCTAAACATTCAGTGGACATTTTATGTATCTTCTGGACCATGCTTTTTATTTCTTTTGTATGGTAAAGAAGAAAAGCCTTCCTTGAGTGGGGGGACCTGTCAATACAGCAGGATCAATGACCTTCATTAGTGCCCATCAGATCGACCTTCCTTCCTTCCTTCCTTCCTTCCTTCCTTCCTTCCTTCCTTCCTTCCTTCCAGGATCAATGACCTTCATTAGTGCCCATCAGTCCTTCCTTCCTTCCTTCCTTCCTTCCTTCCTTCCATGCGGTGCAGGAGATCAGGACGGTGAGTAGCTATGCTATATGGGGCTTCTACATTTTGCCTTTACTCCATGACTTAGTTTCCCCTCCAGCATTTGGTAAGACAAAAATGAAATCTTTAGCATGGGGTTGGGGTGGAGGTGGAGGGTACAGACACTTGCATCTGCTCTGCACATTTTGTTGGGCTCCAGCTTTCCGCATGTCTTGCTGCTGGCTACACTGGCCAGGGCTGAGTGGAGTGGCAGTGGAACCGCACCAGCAGGGATGTTCCCTGCATGCCCTCACCCTGTTTGTCAGCTGCCACAGGTAATTTTACAAAACTGTTGCCTTGGGGCCGACTGGCCCACTTGGACCCTTCTTTGACCCCTTCAAAAACTGACCAAAGTGTTTAGTATTCCAAGGATGCAACGTGGTTTCTCTCTCTGGCTTTGTGGGTCTCTTTGTGGGAGCTCAGAGGCTCAGAGATCCAGGCTGCCTTGGAATTCGACCGCTCTGCTGCCCCTCCACACTCATGAGAGGATGAGACCCTCCAGGGAGGTTCTTGTGATGTAGACTTACTGGCTTGCAGTGCCAGAGCAGGCAAAGTGAAGCAATTCCCGGTGGGATTAAGAGGAAGCAGAGGCAGGGGAGAAGGAATTATCTGGATTATTAGGCTCCCCACACCCAACAGGGGAACTGGGGGTTCTCCCAGGAGCCTCCTCCTCCTCCTTTGAGGAGACCCCCCACAAGGCGGTGTCTTGAGTTGTTGCTAAGGTAGAGGGAGAGAAGTATAAAGTGCCCCTCAGGAGGTGTCCTTGCCCTGGAGAGAGAGACGCCCTTGCCTAAGGGAAGTGAGAGAGACCAGGCTGAGGGCTGGGGGAGGGGGCTGCCCTGCCCTGGGAGAACTGAGGCCAGTTGCTTCTCCTTCTTTGGTGCAGGTGCCCGACCACCACCATGCCCAATGGATGTGGAGTGGGGGGGGGAGGAGGAGGAAGAGGCCTTCAGGGGCTCTTGAGGGCTTCCTCCTCCACAGGAGTCATGCCTGGTCCACTTCCCCAGCTCCTTGGCCCAGCTGAGCCTAGGGGCAACTCTCTGAGGTCCAGGGGAAGGGGAAGGGGAGATTTTCCTTTCCTGATGACCAGAAGGCAACCGAAGGGAGCAGAGAAGGCAAACCGGGAGGGGGCCCTGGTGGGAACCTTTCACTCGGTGGGGGGGGCTATGTTCTCCTGAATCATGCAACAACCTGAATTTATGCCAGAAACACGGTGAGTGGCCAAGTTTGTCTGGGAGGGGGCGGAGTGGGAAGGGGTGGCTACACCTGCCACGTTCACGGGAATATTTTGGGATGCTTCATCAGTACGCTCTCGAGGTAGTTCTCCAGCTCCTCATCGCGAACTCGGTTGCCCTCGTAATACTCGTCCCTGGGCACCACCACGGGGCCAGGGAGGCGCCGGTACGGGTGGGAGGCCGGAGACTGGAAAGTCCAGGGGCTGATGGCGTTGGAGATCTTGGGGCTGGGCTGGGCTCGGGACCACTTGGGGGGTGGGTACTCCTCCCCCTTCAGGACCTCGTTCCAGGAGGCCTCGTCCTGTTTGGGGAGGCGGGGGCTGTATGGTTTGTAGGTGGACGTGTAGTAGGGCTTGGGGAGGGGCCGCGGGGCCGGGTGGTAGGCGGGGTTGTAAGGAGGCATCTTCTTGGCCTTGCTGCGCGTGGCGGGCCCCCCAGCTTTGCTGCTCTTCCCGCTGCGGGGCTCCGGCATCTCCTTCTTCTTCTTCTCGACGTCATTAATGATGTCAATGACGTCATCGGCCGGCAGGTGCAGCTTGCTGGACAGCTCGATCAGGCGGTCGATCGTGTTGGGGTCAATGTCGTCCTCTTCCTCCTCCTCCTCCTCCTCCTCCGGCGCCTCGTTGGAGCGCTTGTCTTCGGCCACGTTGCCAGCCTCCTCGTCCTCGAAGAGCAGCGGGCTTCCTTTGCGGCTCACCTCTTCCGACCCACCCGGGCCATGGCCCGCCCCCGGCCGGCCCTGCTCTGGCCCTTCTCCCTCCTCCTCCCCCTCCTCGTCGCTTTCCTCCTCGTCCTCCTCCTCCCCGTCCTTCAGGAGGTACTGCAGAAGCAGGTCCGAGGCCATGTCGGCCAGGCGCTCTTCCTCGGCCGCTGCTCGGCGCGCCTCCTCCGCCTGCCGACGGCTCTCGGCCAGCTCCTCGTAGCGCCTCTGCAGCAGCTGGTGCTCCAGGTGCTGCTGCTGCCTCAGCTTGCGGGCCCCGGCCCAAGGCTCGCTGGCCGGCGCCCTCCTCTTGGTGTGGACCTTCAGGCGCTCGTACTCTTCCAGCTCCTGGAGCACCTCGTCCCGCGGACTGCCGGCTGCGCCCGAGTCCCGGGCCGGCTCCTCTCTCTTGGCGGCTAGGCTGTAACTCTGCAGCTCCCGCAGCACGGACTTCAGCCCGGCCACCTCCTCCTGCCGTCTGGAGGTCCCTGCGGCCGCCTCCGGCTGTTCCTCTTGGAGCGGCTGCCTTTCCTCCCTGCCCGCAGCCCAACTCCGCTGCGCCTCCGGCTGTACCTCTGGGCCTTCGCTCTTGCTCAGGACCCTTTCTTCGTTGGCGTCGGGTTCGGGGCTGGCTCCGTGGAGCTCGCTGGACTTCTCGGGCTCCGGCTGGAGGGCCTGCAGGAGGACGGCGGCCAAGGCCTTCGGGTCCACGTCTTGGAAGAGGTCCTCAGCTGCCTCGCCTCTCTGCCTCGCCGATCCTGGGCCCGTCTCCTGCGGCTCGCCGGGGGGCAGACTGGACGACTTGGGCAAAGCTTCGCCCGGTCGAGCCTCCTCCCCGAGGGGCAGCGGGGTGGCGGCAACCTGGAGGCGGCACCGCGTCAGGAGGCAGAGAGAGAGCAGGCAAGCCGCTCTGCGGAGGTGCGGGGGGCAAACCATGGCGCCAGCGGAACAGAAGAGCTGCATGAGGAGGGAGGAGGGGGAGAGACAAAAGAAGAAGGGCAGAGTCAAGCTCCCAGGAGTCTCCGAAGGGACGGACAGAGCCTCTGCGATCCCCCCAAACTGGGATAGGAACCTTCATCTGTAAAGGGAGCGCTAGCCGCCGGGGCACCTGGAACAGCCCGGAAACCTACGCCCACACTCCACCCCGTCCCGGAGGCCACCTGCTCCTTGCTGTAACCGGGGGGGGGGGGGCTAGCCGGTTCTTGCGAACACTTTGGGCTCCTCCACCAAATAGGTGCAGGAGCAGAGCCCTGTCTCCTGCGCTCGCTTCCTGTTGGTCACCACGGTCACTGATAGCCATCGTCATGGTCATCACCACCACCAGGCCAGCGGTCCGGTCCTTTCCAAGGGGCGCCTCCAGCGTCATTTTGTGCCTTGGGATCGATTCCTGGACAAAGCTCCTCTTTGCGGAGTCACCTGCCAGGAAGCAAAGGGAGCGGCTCCTCCGGACAAAGTGCCTTTCGGGCGCACTTTCCACAGGAGCGGGGACTGGCAATAGAAGGGTGCTCCCGTGGCGAGCAACGGGACTGCATCTCCCTCGGGCCTGCGTCCCCGTCCAGCTCCGTGGAACAGCCGCCACCGGCGGAATCTACCGAGCGGTAGCCCGCTCCTTCTAGCACCCACTGGCCCCGAGCCAAATACGGGAGGGAGGCGTGGCTCAAAGGAGATGTCTCTCCGCCGCCCCCTTCCCTCAAGGATGTGGATGTGCGCCCGCCCTCTGCCGGCATTCTCCGCCGGACGTGTTCTGTGGGGGGTGGACCATTTGCTGGAAACCAATGTTTTTGTTACGGTGATGGTGATGATGACGATGACGACTTGTCAAGTCACTGCCGTGTCTGTTCCAGCAGCCCCCGCGGATCCTCCTGCTCATGGAGGTGTTCTGCTGCAACCTGTAGGAGAAGATAAATGGGGGGCTCCTTTTAATCAGCTCTGGGGCCCCCATGCTGTCTCCTCCAGCTGCCCCTGTTCGGAAGAAATCAAACATTCCCATCTAACGTGGGGTGGGGGGGAAGCGACGTCTTTTTCTTGACCACCCTCCTGATTGCCACTAGGGACGGACTGTGCGGGGATTCTTCCACCCATCCTCTCATTTTTTGGAAAAAAGAGTCACGCGAGGTGTTTATCAGCTCCCCCCACAGGAGTCCCCTCTTCCCATATGTTTCTAGCAGAAGAGAGCCCCTGGCAGCGGGGGAAGGACCGGATTGGAAGGTTTTCTCGGCAAAGCGGTAGGGAAGAAGGACCAGCTCACTCTCCAGCCCCCCCCATCTCTGCAGTACTCACACCCACCGCCCACACATGCAGGGGAAAGAGAGCTGGCTGCATCAGCAGCTGCCAACTATCCCTCCCCCGACCCAGT